TACGTGGAAAGGATTTACCTTAGTGCAGGGGTGGGCAAAATACAGCCCGCAGTCCGAATCTGGCCCCCCAGGCCATTCACCGCGGGCCATATTTTGAATTAATATTTATCTGCCCCTGGCTGCCTGTCAAAGATGACAGGAGCCAGGGGCAGTAGGACCCAGGGGGAACTGGCATCAGAACTAAACAGCTGCAGCAGCAAGACTGGCCTGACCCCGCCCCCCCAGCCCCGCTCACCTCAAGCCCCGGCCAGAAGCCTCTGCCTAGCAGGGGCTTCTGGAGGCTTCTGGCCTGGGACTGCTCCTGCCTCCCTGCACCAAGGGAGATGCAGATAAGAAGTCGGGGGGAAGGGAGGCAGTGGAGGACTGTGGGCAATAGCCCCAGTCCTCAGGGCCAGCCAGGCCGGCTCCTGCAGTCCCAGCAGTGGCTGCATCTGGGAACCATGTGGTGCCAGTGGGCGTGGGGGGAGCAGCAAAACAGCTACGGCAGGCAGGGGAAAGGGGCAGTGAGCAGGCATGCAGAGAACAGTGACACCTGGGCGGGATCACAGGGCTCACTCCAGTGTACAGGGGCCTGTGCTCCTGCCGCCCTGCAATGGGCCCCACCAATGCTGGCCCCAGCGCACTGGTGTGTGCCGTGTGCTCCTGCCCAGGTGTCTCTGTGCTCTGAGTGCCTGCTCTCTGCCCCTTCCCCCTGCCTGCCGCAGCCATTTCGCTGCTCCCCCTATGCCCGCTGGAACCACGTCGTTCCCAGATGCAGCCACTGCTGGGACTGCAGGAGCCAGCCCTAAGGACTGGGGCGATTGCCCACAGTCCTCCACTGCCTTCCTCCCTCCCCCCGCCTCCTTATCTGCATCTCCCTTGGCCAAAATATTTTTTGAAATTAAATTAAATAATGTTGTAGTATATTTGAATTTTAGACTATAATTTGGTATTTGTGTGATACAGAGTTGACAAAACCCCTTGCTGAAATGAGTAATTCCAGGGGGCAATGGGAGGGACTTCTGGTGGCAAAGGTCAGGGGCTAGAGGGTGGGACTTCTGGTCCTAAGATGGTGACCAGGCGATGGGGCACCTGTCAAGGGGCAGGGCTACCCATGCGGTGCTCAATGGCTTGCCAAAAATCAGTAAGCGGCCCTTTGCCCGAAATAATTGTCTGCCCCTGGTTTAGTAGGTAGTAACTGGGCTGGAACAGGACAAATTAGAGCAGCAGTGGGCAATTATTCAGGCGGGAGGGCCACTTAGGAAGTTTTGGGGAGCTGTTGAGGTTTAGGTCACCTTCTCTCCACCCTCCAGCTCCCCCCCCACCTCAAGCAGCTCACCAAAACTCCCTAAAGTCACTGTGCTCCATGTCTGGACTGGGTGGCTAGGATTGAGACTGCAGGCCGGTGGGGAGCAGTACCTAGACAGGCAGGGTGAGCTGGGCCTGGGATTGCAGAGCAGTGACAGCATGGGGCCGGGGCAGAGCCAAAATCCACTCCCTCCACACCCCTGTGACAGGTGCTGGTTCTGTAGGCAGGGGCATGCAGGGAGCGGATCATGGCTCTGCCCTGGGCCCTGACCTTGTGCCATGTAACCCTGGGGTCTTCATGGAGACCAGCTGAGACCCATACAGGCAGGGCAGATGCTATGGGGCCCGTGGGCAGGGGGAGCTGCATCCAGGAGCAGGATGGGCTGGGTCTGAGATCTTGGTGACAACATGGGGCCAGGGCCAAAGACAGAGCCACCATATGCTCCCTGCATCCTCTTGCCTGTGGAACTGGTGCCCATAGCAGGGACATATGGGCAGCAGATCATGCCTCTGCCCTGGGCCCCAGTCCTGTGCTATCATTGCCCCATGATCCCACCCCCACCCTCCCACCTGCAGCCCCATCCCATCCCATCCCATCCCCCAACTGTGCACCCTGCCTGTGTGGGTCCCACTCCTGGCAGTGGGTGCAAGGTGGACAGGCTGGGGCACCCAGGCAGGAGGGTTGAGTCCAGCAGCAGTGGCAGCCAGAAGGAGCGCCCCCATCACCAAGGCTACAGGGAAGCGAGTCAAGCCACCATGCTTCCCCAACCCCGTTGCTTACCTGGGAGCTGCAGGACTGGCTGCATGAGTCGGCTGCCCCCTGACCTGGGCTGGGCGGGGCTGAGAGACCTGCCAAAGGCTGAACAAGATCCCTTAGTGGACCAAATCTGACCCACAGGCTATATTCTACCCATCCCTGGATTAGAGGGATGGGAGGGATGGGCAGAAATTGCCAAGCTTCTGTGGAGAGGAAATGAGGAGGTGGGAGATGGGGAGCTAGGCAGAGAGAGAGAAAGGGGAAAGAGGAACAAGAACCTGTGCCCAACACAGCATAGAATAGAATGTAAGACTGCCAAGTCTCAATAGTTTTCTACTATCGGGAAACAATAGTGGCAAATGGCAACCCACTAGCAGAGGGTTTCCATTGCCCTCTAATCCTGTCCCACATAGTGAATGGCTACTTAGTTACTTATCAGTTTCTCTAACAGCTTAAACATCAAGAGGTCTGTGCTACTTCTCAGGGTTCCAATCTTGCTGACAAACCACATGGATGTTATTATGATGCAAGCCAAAAAATAGCTGTGATAGATTTTGTTTTTTAAACTTAGGACAAAAAAAAAAAAAAATCACATCCTCTAAACCAGTGTTTCCCAACCGGTATGCTGCGGCATTTTGGGCTGGAACCATGTCCGCTGCCTGGTGCTGCCATGGCTCTAGCCAGTGATTCAAATGCCACGCCACCCGCTTCCTGCCACTCACTATCCCCCCTCCCCCCACTCCATGACGTTCAGTCACTCACTTCCCCGCCGCCACACCATCGCTTGGCCAGTGTGCCATGGGATGGGGGAGGCCATGTAAGTGTGCCATGGGGTGAAAAGGGTTGGGAAATGCTGCTCTAAACATAAATGTTGTTAAATTAAACACTCAGAAAGGTTAGAAATGCTAAAAATAAAACTGCATCTGTAACTTTAGTTTCCCCCCCTGCCTCATACACAGTTTGATGAGTCTTTAATTACATGACAATGTTCCAGATGGGAAATGCTGCCTTAATGAGTAGCTGTACATAGTTTTATTTTTCCCCTCCCTGCTCATAAATACAGCCCTGTGCATTACTGACCAAATGCTGGTTACACCCTACTCAGAAAACAATGTTACTATTTTATTAAGGGCTTTCCTATGACGTGAAACATCTGAGTAGTTTGCAAACACTATTTTATCTTCATAACACTCCTGTAAAGTGAGGGGGTGATATCATTTCCCTTTAAAAGATGGGAAGCTAAGTGAAAGAACAATTAAGGTTGAGTCCACTAACTTTGGGCATGCAATTTGAAATGCCTTGGATCTTGCTTCTCAGAGTACCCAAAATTCTATAACACTACACAAATCCAAAGCACACATCCCATTAATTTTCGTTGTAGCTTTGAATATTCAACTGCTCTACAAAATGCACAGCACACAAATTAGTGATCACTCATGAAATGGCTGGCTTAAGTAACTTGCCTACCATTATGTAGGAACTCAAAGATAAGCCTTCAATCCAGTTCTCCAAAGTTGTAACCCGGGGTCAGCAACTTGCAGGCCAGATCCAGCCTGAGTAGCTACTGGATCCAGCCTGTGGAGCTAGGTTTTGGTGGCATTGGACAGGAAGGACGTTGTCTGTGCTGCGCTGCACTGCACCGCACCACACTGAGGCTGGGGCAGCTGGGTAGCAGGGAGCTTTCTGTGCCATGGCATAGATGGGTGGTGAGAGAAGCAGCAGTGGCAGCCCAGTCCTAGTACTGGTTTACCTATAATCTGCGCTGGGTCATTCTGGCCTGCCATTGCAAAACATTCCCCAGGAGCTGGTCTTAACCATAAAAATATCCTCTTTACCTCTAACAATCCCTCTGCCTCATTCAGTCCATCCCTTTCAACTTCTCTAACAAACAAGGCAGTGCTGTACAGACAGCAGTCTACTTTACGATGCAATTGTGATTGATTAGCTGGTCTATTATTTGCACTGAAAGAGGAGGGGTCCCACGTAACATAAAACATATTATGTGACTCTGTAACTAAAGGATAGAATATCTATGTGCAGCCAACCTTGATTTTAACCTACTGTATGCATGTATCGTCTTTAGGAATGCTCATCGCCTTGACTCATTTTCCATAAGGGTTGTTTCTAAGACATGGATGACAGGAGATCACTGATGAGGAATAGGCATCCCTAACCAAGAATGGGTTGGCGCATCTCTCTCCAGGCTCAGCGTTTACTAGGCAAGTCAAGTTTACTTATTGTCCTACAACAATTAATTTGTATCTTCTTGTCTTCCCATTTCAACTCTTCATGTATTGTTAGAGGAACCTTTGAGCTAATGCTCATCTGTGATAGTTTCAGTTTCCCCTTGTGGACCAAGTTAGCAGGTTGTTTCCATTGAGTGACTGACAACTGCTGTTTCACTGAATCTTATGACTAATTCTTATTAATTTTTACCTCTGCTTTTCAAAATCTTGTTGACATACAAGTATGGTCTGCACTCAGAATTACATATTTACATAGATTATATCAACAATAGCCACAACATACTACTGTTATTTTAATGTTTTTTATATCTCTGTTTATACTTTGCAACTCCGATTCAGTTATTCTATTAAACGCAAATCTATCCTAACTTCTGACTGACTGCAGACTAAGGCTAACCACCTCTATAACCAGAAAAAGATTGAAAATGTCTCAGAACTGAGATTAACTAGTAATAGATGGGATAAATTAGTAAATGGGTAAATTGGTAAAATTACCCTGGTTGCTTCTTCAATATTTTTGTGCAGTGTTTTGCATTTTTAATAATGCCTACCAGTTCAACTATTCAAATATTTTCTTACCCAATCCCCCAAAAAAGAAAAAGGGAAAAAAGATTGGTGATAGAGAGGGAAGAGAAAGGAAGGAGAATAACAACATTCTGGAAATGAGGTTTATTAACAGAAATCTGAGCAGTGATCATCTTTTTTATTACCTTCACTAACATCCTGACTGTAGACTCCATCTGGTTCTATGTCAGAAGGGATCATAATGTGCCAAGTTGTCATCCTGGCTTCTGCTTCCAGTCCAAACCCATCCACATTGCTACAAATATACAGTGAATTTAGAACAAAAAGGAGACGACAGGATTTAAATCAGAGGGGGCAAATCTTGCTGTGACATCATATGGGATTCAGGTATACTACTGTGTGATCAGAACTATACTTCTGATCCCTCCAAAATTGTGATATACAGCCTTAATCTCTACAGCAATTCTGTGATGGGGCTAGACTGTTCACTCAAGAAAGGGAGGGGGATGGCACTTGTACAACATCGTAAATGGAAAAGCAGTAGACTGCTTCTCACTTCCCTGCTTCACTGGAACCCAAATATATAAACTAGGAAATTCTCTAAAGAAAATGAAAATCCAGGAAATTCAAGTTGGTGCTTTTCACCTTCACAATAGTATATTATTTTGTCAAGCAGTTCCACATCTCTGAAATATCTTATTTAGGGTTGCTTCCGGCATAAAGAGAATGGATTGATAATGCTGTCTGTTCTGGATGGCCGATTTAAGCCCAATTGTATTTAATCAATGTTATAAGCCCAAGTGTGAAAAATGATGCACAATAAATGATTCAATAAAAACAATAAATAAACAAATAAATAACGGTAACCCTTCTTTCCATTTTAAAAAAAACATTATTTCGATAATCAATTACATATGAAAATGATCGCATTGTCATTGCTTTCTGATATGTGATGGCACTATCCTGAAGGCAGTTTACAGTGGGTGCATATACATGTGGTGACGGTGACATAGCCTCCACGGGCAAAAACTGTGATGCTGCAGCTATGCCACTGTAGTAACACACTCCCTCAGTATCACATCACTACGGCGACATAACAGATAAAAATAACTGTGCACTGCATGCATGGTGCAGTACGGGGTGTTACTGTGCTGTCATTTAGTACTTCCAAAGGGAAGTAGTAATGATGGTGCAGTAACAACGGCACCATTGAGGCACATGTAGACATGTCCACTGTTATGGTTTAATGAAGCACCTGGTGAACAAGACACACGTATGCCAATATTTTTAAATAGCTGTGTAAAAGGAGATGAGAATATACTCCTCAGACTATGAAATTCAATTCATGAAGAACTGTTTTCAATTGGTTTACAATTCATTGACATCAGAAGTTATGAATAAATATCCATAATTTGCCAACTATTATTCAAAATGGTCCAAGTCCAAGCCGAATAAGGGAGAAAAAGGGAAGTGTTCTAACAATTAATTTTAAGGCAAAATATTTCACAAGACTGAAATTTTACTCTGAATATTTCACAAGAGCACAAATTCTACTCTGCAGCACTTACCTTCCTACATGCAGATTAATCAAGCAATGGGCTAGACAGCTGATAAACTCCTGATCATGGTTCCCAGGCCCCAGAATTAAGTTTCTGTTTACTGTAAAGACCCTTAGAGAATCGAGGAGAGCAACTTGCTGAGGGACAGTTTTGTGTGCCCTGGAGAACTGATACAAGATGGTCCTATTCAGGCAGTGATAAATAGCATCCAACGATAACCCCTGAGATCTTCTTTTTGACTGATGGAAAGTACAAAACACAATCAATAAAATGGCAGACAAAATCCCCATACAAACTGACCCACACTGATTTTTCAATAACCTTTACCTTAATAAAATACTCTTGGTACTGATTAACAACCCTCACCTGTCCCAATATATATTAATGCTTCTTTACCCTTTACACTGAGAATGGAAATTACATACACACCACTGAATTGATAAACCTTTTTGTTTGTTTGTTTGTTTTTTACTGTACCTGGTATAAATACCCATCTTTTATTGAAATGCTCTTCTCTAATTTCTAATAGCAAAGCTCCTCAATGAACCTGGTGTGGGGGAGCGTGGAAGAACAGGAACCTTTAACTTCCTACAGAAACCTTCCCCAAAAGGGAAGGTTGTAAGCATTGTACTTAACTGCTCCACACTAGAAAACTGATCTGGGACATGTAAACACCACCAAGCCAGGTTTCCCTGAAGAAAAAGAGCTAATTAAGTAAAACTGTCAAGAGAATTGTAAGTTAAGCACTCTGTACTCAAACCAGAAAGTCCTGTGTCCATGCAATAAGACTTTGAAAGACTGAACCTTAAGGGTGCCAATACAGGAGCCCAGAAGCTACTCCGACACACTGTAATTACAGCGTATCGGATCAGACTCGATCCATTTTGCTGGACTGTGGCAATTACTGCGCTCTAGTAAGCCTCTGTGTCTTGTGAATCAGCGTCCCCATGCTTCAAAATGGCAGTGGAAGTACTTTAACTAAAGTTCATTTGTTGAGCTTTAGATAAAGCACCCCACCATCATTTTCAAGTGCAGGGACACTGATACATGAGACGCTCCTGGCACTTCAATTGGAGCGGCTCTTGGAGCTGGTCTAATGCCCCCACCCCATCCCCATGACATGTAAAAATGCCCTAGGATGCTGCAGTTCCTTCAGTTATGACTACATGGTTTGCCATGTCCATACTTGGAATCCCTAATAGATGACAAAATGAAAACCGCCTTAGGCAAGTGAAAATTTATTTGGATGGTTACAAGGCATAAAAAATGCCCATTTTCTGCTTTGGTGCCTTTTACAATCTTTTAAAAATATCATGCCTAGATAGGGTAATAAAAACAGCTGTTACCTGTGCAATTAGCTGGATTATGAAGTCTACAAGAAGCTTGGATTCTTTGTTGAACATGCCCTGCCAGAGCTTATCTACCACACGTTGTGTAAAATAAAACACATTGTTCACCAACACATGGTAATTTCCCCCAGTTGTAATAGGCAGAGATGCATCTTCACCTAAGTTAGAAAAGTAAAACAGAAAACATCTTGATTCAAGCAACAAAACCACACATCTCTCACCCTCCAACACGTTCAGCACATCCAAAAGCTTTCTGAAGATAAATTTCTCTACTTTCCACAATATGGAGAAAACCCTATATTCATTTAAATAAAATTATCAGTCAAACAAAAAGAGCTAAATTTTGTCTACAAGATATTGTCACAATTCATCTGAGGCAAATTAATAAGTGACATTTCTAATGGGCAGTGAAAACATGTTTATCTATGTGCAAGGAAGGAAGAAGAAAACCCAAATCCTAAATATGTATATTAAAAGATGACTTAGTATTTGCTGGACAACAGGGAAAGCAAGACTATTTTCATAAACATTTCATAAACAGAGGTTTTACATGTTCCCTATGTTTCCTTCCCAAACCGAGATATCCCCAAAAGGAAAGGACGAAGTCAGGCAAATACAATTTCATCTCCTCAAACTTGAGTTCACAGATTAATATTACTACTGCAACTCATCTAAGAGGTGAAAGAGAATCTGTATGGACAATTGGTCTTTCCTTTGCTTATCTTTGTTTAGCACATACCAACAAGGTCTATCCAGACCCATTCAATATTGAATCTTAAACCAGATGGAAAGAAATCAAGGAAATCTGAGGATCCCAGACAACAGGGAGCATTGTCTTGCCACAAACTCAACAAGTTTTTTGGGGTTTTTTTGTGGATAAGCTTTTACAGAGAGCCATTCTGAAACAGATGAGTCTATAAACCTATTCCTAGTAAAAGGCAATTCCTTTCCATCTATGACTGGACAATGCTAGTCTATTATCGCTTTCCTTTGGAGACCAACAATATCCATCAATAATGAATCTTGATATTTCTTTGTTGAGTTTCTCCCCCACACGCAAGATTTAGCCCTGGGGACCCATAGCGATTACTACTATTTTAAAAAATAAGTTAAATTTATGACAAGCTCATAACAGGGAAATATATCTCTATTTTATCCATTAAATACTGGGCTTTATTAATCTCCAGTGCTACTTTTTACGCATAAACTAGGATACTTTTGTGTATGTAAAAGGGTCAAAAGACAGATAAAATAGACAAAGAAGTAAAAAGGAAAAAAAAAAGAAAAAAGGAAGAGTCCTAAAATAAATGCTTGGACGTGTTTCTTCCTTGGCTACAGAATTCACCACCAACAAAAACCAATCTTAGCTGGAAGTACTTTTACCATCTGTTGACATAGTATCTGAGAAGGATTTTTAATTTGGAGATGAATAATAAATACATGTAAAGAGCTGGGAACTTTTGGCTGCTACTTCCTAAAAACAGTTGTACATTAGGGAAGTGAAAGGTTAAATGATTAATCATTTAACCAATATGCCAACTATTGTTTAGCTTGGGGCGGGCGCAGTCTGCCAGAGAAGGAAAGCCACGCAGTGCTCCAGAAGAAATGAGAAGGCGACAGGGCAGGCAGGACAGAGGGAGGGAGGGAGGAGCAAGGAGGAGTGGAGGAGGAGAGATGAGGGGGACTAGTACCCATAGCCCCCGGGGTGGGCAATTATATTAGCTGAAGGGCCATTTAATGAGTTTTGGGGGCCTGTCGAGGGCCACAGCCATCTTTATCTCTCTCTCCTCTCTGCCTCTTCTCTTTTCTCTCTCTCCCCTCTGTCACTGCCGTTCACTGCAGTGAAGGGTACGAGACCTTTAGAGGCCCGTCAGGCGGGTACTTGTGACGCTTGGAGTGGAATTAGGCACAGGACGCTTATCGGTTGCAAAGCAAGATTATTTACTCACGTCAAGGTGGTGAAAGACGGAGCTCAGATATACTTAGTTAGTTACAGCTTAGAGTTCGCTCGGTCCGTCTGCAGACATATATACGGGGGGGCGGGATCGGCAGGTTCAGGCTTATCGGTCGTGCGGGTCGAGGGTACGCCAGGGAGGTCGCGGCGGGAAGACGCTGACAACTGATCGAATTGTCAGATTTACTCCAAGGTGCGGACAGAGTTGTCTTCCCTTTGGCGGAAACGCAGCAGGGTTTTGTTTGTGTGATAGCCAATTGTTTTTTGCCACGTCATAAATTTAATTAGAAATGCCAATTATCTCTAGGGATTTGTAGCAGGGCTACCCCTTTTCGCCCTGACCAATCATAAATCATGGGCTAAGTTTCGTTTCTTTAGAAGTTTCATTTCTTGGTTGTGACGCAGCCATAAATCTCTTTTTGACATGCGCAGCAAAAAAACTGTTACTATCTTCTTGTTAGTTAACTCTTAGTTAACCTAGTGCAGACTAAAACTGGTTTTGATTAATATATTTCTTGCTTGTGGCATGGGCAGTACTTAATTGGGTTGTGACACCCTCCACCTCATCCTCCTTCCAGACCCCACCAGAGCTGTAGTTCGCCACAGTGGGCTGGTGGCAGTGTCAGCTGCCGGG